GGGGTCCCGGCGCGGTTGGTGGCCCTCGGCAGTGCCGCTTTTGGCCACCGGAGGGCGCTGAGTGTCTGGGCTCTGCGTGTGACGTCATCGGCAGCGAGGGCGTCACCCCAATCCCAAATCCCAATCCCAAATCCCAGATCCCCATTCCCAATCCCAAATCCCCATTCCCAATCCTTCCATCCCTGCTTCTAACCCCTCCTTCCCAATCCCAAATCCCCACTCCCATTCCCGGGCACCCCCAGGCGACACCAAACACCCCAAGGTGACACCAGGCACCCCAAGGTGTGGCGTTTTTTGGGAATATTCCGATTTTCCCCACTAAACTCTCCACTTTCCCGGGAATTTCTGGCATCCGGCGCCGGCGCGCTCCCCGTACGGACCCGGCCAGGACTGGGACCAGCACGGCTTTACTGGTGCCACGGCACGGACACAGCGCTGGCACCGCTGGTGGCACCGCGACAGCAACGCGCCTCCCGCGGGGGACAGATGTGACAGTTTTTGGGGGCAGTGGTGGCAGTTTTGGGGTGCCGGGGAGGGGTAAAATTCTCATTGTGAGACAGGGGACAGCCCGGGGACATCAGTGGGGACATTGCGGGGGCCCCTGTGCCACCCGGGGCGGTGCCAGCCCCGCGTGGGGAGGGGACACGGTGGGGACAAGGGACAGGGCGAGGTGTCCGTGGGGTCGGCGCCTTCTTTGGTTTAAATGTCGGGAATTTTGGGGAGGGGGGACAAAGCGCGGGGAGGGGGTGGGGGGTGACAGGTGGCACCTCCTGGCACTGCGGGTGGCACCGGCGACATCCTCGGGTGGCTCCTGCAGTCGTGCCCGGCTCCCGGGAATCGGCGGGATCCGGGCGGGAATTACCGGGAATCACCGGGAATCGTCACCGGGAGTCGGGGTCCCGCTGTCCCCCGCTGCTCCGGGGGGACGGAGCCGGGAAAGGTCCCGGGGTGGCCCCAGGGGGCTCTGACGACCCTAAAAGCGACGGTGGCAGCGGGGACACGCGGGAAGGCGCCGTGCCGTCATCCCGGGAATCTTCATCTTCCTCATCCCAGCAGGAGCTGCCGAACCCCACAACGATCCCCCAAAATCCGGGCAAATCCCAGCGCGGAGGAGCCTCTGGGTTCTCCCGAAAATCACCCCAAAAATCCCTGCGGGGACCTCCCGGCTCCTCCCGGTGTCGCCGCCTCCTCTCGGTGTCCCCGGGGCTGCCGCCGCGTGCGGGAGCGACAACGACGGCGACAAAAACCCGGGACGGAGCCGCTCCAGCGCCGGGG